CATACTACACACACTCAAGCACATGCCATCTACACTCCCTTCCTGTCAAAATGACCTCCCTCTCTCCATAGCCTACAAACTTAAATTGTACCTCTCTTTTTTTCCCAGCCACGTGGTTTTCCTTCTTTTGGGTCTCATATAAGCCCTTCACATCACTGGCCACCTGGAAGGGGAGAAAGGAGCTAGATGGAGTAGGAGCAACTTCTCTACCCAGAAATGCTCAAAGGAAGGTTAGATATAAACAACAGGCACAGAGCATTACAGCACTTCCTCCTCTTGGGAAACAGCTGCTCTTCTGCAGCTTTACACTGACTTACATCTTTCCTCACCTCCACCCTCCCAGACCAGAGTGCACGTACTTACAGGTGAGTCCAAGGAGAGCCGTTAGGAATGATACATTACCTAGTATTCACGTGTCAGCAATAAAATAAAACTGTTGGTAATTGGTAGTTTTCAGAACACTTTGATCTGTACCATCTCTTTGATGGTAACAATCCTAAAACATAGGGTAGGTATTTTTAATCTTCATCTATAAATCAGGAAATAGAAGCTAAGAAAAATGACCTAATAAAGGTCACTCAAATAGTGGCAGAGCTGAGTTCACACCAACAATTTTCGTCTTGTAATCCAGTGTTCAAAGAGTCTGAAGTCAGTAAATCTGGAAAACCGTTTTTCAGGTTTATTCATTCATTCAATAAATTCAAAGTTCACTTACTACAAAGTCTCTAAAGCAGAGACCCTCATTCAGAGAGAGATACTCCCCTTTAAGATCAAATCTTCTACAAAAATTCCCATCATTTCCTCCCTTGACCATGCCCAGAGGACACCTGCACAGCCCACCCCTGCAAGGGCAGCTCAACATGACACTAATCCTTTCATCACAGCTGACCGCACTAGCACTGGAACAAAGATAAAACCTTGCCAATTGGCTGCTTCCTCGCAGAAATTAGGATTTGACAGAGTCTGAATCTCTACCTCATATTACATCATACTACCTCTCTCTCTCTCTCTCTCTCTCTCTCTCTCTCTCTCTCT